TCTGTAGGAGCGCATACCTTATAGTCCCACGACAGCCGTGATTGTGTTTGGGGGCTTGGACACAAGCGCAGCGACCACCTGATGACAATCAAGGGTGCACAGTTGCAGGAGGCTGCGACGGTGTCACCACCACCATGGATGCAGCTTAATGGCGCTCTGAAGCTAGAAACCGTTTCAAATGCGATCCGGTACAAGCAATACAAAATGGATGTCTTTATGCCTGAAGGCTAAAATAAAGGTTGGACTTGGCAATTGCCCGGCAATATGTGTTTTTACATTGCAATGTGTCCACTGATGTGCAAGTCACTGCAAACATGCGAATTGCGTCTGCATGGGTCGATCACGATGCATTCGTCCGCTCCATTCTCTGCCACTGCTAGCTGGTGTGCTTCGACCAGGTTCCATAGAATCCCCCTGCCAACAAGGATCCAAACAAATGGTGGAAGACTGTGTACTCGGGTCAACGAACGCAGCTTCGTGGACTAGTACAGTCCGTACCACTAAACGTGTAAGTAATTCTGCACGTCAAGTTGCTTGCTGCTGTCTCTGTCTACACACGCTCCCACTGGGTTTAAGGCTTGCAGTTTTGCTAATGTTTAGGGTTTAGGGATTAGAATCGGTTAGAGAGCCAACCACTGCAATGCAGTTTGTGCATTCATGGAAGCGAGTGGAGCAGGAATAGAGGGATCTATATGAGAGTTTCTCAAATCCATGGATCCCCCCTGGAGGAACCCCAATCCGGATTTCAACAAAGTGTCAGGTATGTGAGAGCGCTCTGCTTCAGAAAAAAAAAACATGTACCCGTTTGACCCCTAATTAATACGCTCTATTTTACACAAATAGCCTCTAAGATCGCCCATAATTCAATGTACTGTAATCCCTTCGAAATCATAACCGTTATACTCAATCCCCAAATTGCAAGCCTCAGATTTCTCCAAAGCGACCGCCGGCTACATGCGCACGTGCTTCTTGTGAGCACGGGTGGCACTTTGGTCTTCTGCCCATTGCGCACATCCCCAGACTCCTTAATTAACGGGACCCCACGCAGGAAGGAGGCTGGCACCAGTGTTGTTTCGTCAGCACTCTGTTGATCCAGTCAGCATACGCAGAGACACGAACGAATATGTCTCGAAGCCCGGACTTGTGCGAATAAAGTCCAACTTGAACAGTCGTGCCATTTGCTCGAAGGAGCATTGGCGCACCTTCGTCACCACAGCCCATGCCTCAACTCTTCTGTGAACAAATGGTTGATGCTATCATTCAATCTCCGGCCAATGACTAGTTGTAGTTAATACTAGCCAACTACAAGTAAAACATGAAACAGAATCGGTTTCGCAATGCATCCCTCGACACCTGCTGACCCAGACTGAACTTCTTGCGTGCAGATGTGTCTGCTTGGCTCGAAGGGGCCCTTACCGCGGCCCAGTAGTGTCTGTAAGTAACAAGGCAAAAAGGATGCTATCTGCTTGTCACCTTCCTTGAGGACGGAGGGTTTGGGTCGCACTTTGCACTCGCTGTCTGACGCGCCTCAGCCAGCAACAAGTGCCTGCTCCCCCACATGTTCACCCTGCTTTTGCTCCAAAGTTGCCACGGGAACGCCGACCAGAGGTGTCATCAAACGAATAATGGCGATATTGTCGCGATAAGTCTCCCGGCTGAAGTTCCTGTGTCTTTCTAAAACCAGTGGACAAAATTCCCACACTTTCGTGAAAAAGACACATAGAAAAGAGTAAAGTTCTCCTAGTTCTTGGACAAAAGAGGTTCCTATGTGTGAAGAGATTTTGTGGCCTGGCAACGCGCCAGCCAGATGGTGTATGCAACCACACCGACATGCGCAACACCAAACTCGATACATCACCGTGATAATTCTCCGGAAAAATGCAGCAGGATGCTGCTGTCAGCACATAGTCTTCATGGATCAACGTTCCGCTGCAGATTTGATGGTCATCTGGTGCTTCGAATCTGGTTCACTGGTGACTGGCATGTTAAAAACTCGGTCTACATTCTTTATGGGCAAAACCACCTTGAACATGTAACATTTTCTTAAGATGGACCGGGAAACACTAGGGAAACCAGGAATGGGTAAGATGTCGCGTAGTGGTTCCAGTTTACCTCTCGATGCGACCCATTGTTGCCGTAGATGCGGCCTTCACCGCTGCACCAAGGCGCGTAGATGCCCAAAACAGCGCAAAATCGCAACAGCATCTATGAGCTACAGTCTGAACTCCAAATATCCGCCTTGCTCAGCCCTAAAATACTCCCCCATCTTATCCCTTATGTAACCCCTTTAAGGAGTTTAGGCAACAGTATCATATGGGCGGCTGCATACGTAGACTCAGGTTTTGGGGTGTTACAATCTACTGTACTTGTATATGCGAACTCTGAGGAAGAACCTTACAAATCATCTAGACCAAGGCCTCCCCAGCAGTTACCAAGAATAACATGCACTACCTGCATGGACTGAACATGAATGCGTAGAGTATATTATGAGATATATACATCTATGATATACTGATATAACGCATATTCACCTATGTTGTCTAGACTTCAGGGAGAGGGTAATGACGTCATGCCTTCACACATTTCTACTTGAGCCAAAGTAATGTACAATCAAAGGGTTACGCATCGGATCAAATGCCGGGCCCTAATGAACATCTTTAATTTTATAATCCTTACATACCCCTTATGTAGAGTTTCCATTCTCTCCCACAAAGGATTCCGCAACCCTGACAAAAGCCTATGATGTGAAGTTGAGTTGAGGTGAGACCTTCTTCGGGACGACATAACTGTTGAATGCATCAGGCCATGCCCATGAGATGCCATTGCTCAATTAAACGTCAGACTGATAGTAGGATTTTGCTAACCCCAAGCCTCGAAATCAGGAGCCCATTATACTTACCGCACAGTCCACGGTCCTGATTCGAGCAGTTGTGGTAACCAATACCCCCTTCTGTGTGGACCATGAACCGTCATTCAACACATGAAACAGGCACAAAGGGCAAAAACAGTGGCAGAAACTCATCAGAACGATGTCTTGGCAATCAAATAGCACCTTAGTCTCCATGGAAAACAAACCAACTTGGGACTTCCTGGGGATGAGCTGCAGAAACCAATTCTTTATGACTCTTCCCCTTCAGTGCCTGTGCAGACGCAGAAACATTTACTAAGTTGATTGTGAGCTCTATTGAAGGTACCCAATAACTACACCAGGAGTGTAAGACCATGATGTTGGGCGCTTAATGGGTGCATGTTGCCATCAAACTTGCGCAGCTGGCAGGCATAATCCCCTTGCTTTGAACCGCCTTTCTCAGGTAAGGTGCCACCCAGTTACTGTGACGACAAGTCACAGGCGATGACAGTAGTTATCAAACGGAGTCCAGATAATTCTTGTACTGTAGCACCATCACTGGTATTGCTATCATTGTCACTCTTTCCTTCTTATGATGCCATTAGTGCCTGGAGTACTAATCTGATGCCCACCCTGATAACACATGTTCCTACATACAATGAAATGAATATGTTCTTTCATACGATGACATGGACGTCTAGGAATTTCTAATGCCAGGTAGGGGACGGTTCCATATTCAGGGAGAGGTTCAAAATGTTTGCGATTGGACTTGCACAACGTCTGAGATCTTCTGCTCAGCCCTACAATCGCGGATGGCAGAAGCTTGAACCACCTGCCGTATACGCATCACCCAGTCTCTCACCGCAAACGGTCATAGCATAATAAACAAACCATCCGGTGGAGCAAGCTTTTAAAGAAAGTCTGGGATTCAAAGTCTGGAACTTTCTCAACCGCACTTGGGGAAGAGTATCACAGAAGATCATCTGCAAGATGTCAAGCTCCATTTATACACAAGCACGTCCGGTGATTGAAAACTATTATTGTTCCTCTCGTCCTCTTGCCGGAAAGACGAGACGCAACTGAAATTGTTGAACGTGCCATCGCCCCTGCCAGTGCCCTGCTGGGCAGTCAATCTCCGTCGGTTTTGCTCTCTTTTTGGGCACGGCTTTGCAACCTGGGTGAGGGCACAGGATGCTACGGCCTGGTGGCTTTGGGAGACCGTTACTGAGGACCCTTGTAGCTCATGAGGGGTAACATGGGGAACTGGCCGGTACTTGGGAGCCCTTTCAGGGCCATGTGAACTCGAACAGGAGTCGGGGGGTCCCCTTGTCGAGGACTGCCCAAACACGCCAAGCTATTCGAGGTTCTGCTCCATACTGAGCAACAGTCGAAAGTCATGTTCAATCTGGCTCTGTGTCAAAGTAGAACGACACCAACTATACAGACCGCTCAGAATAAATTTGCCCGTGGTTTTATGGATTAAGGGGGCCTGGGGATTTGTAGATCTGCTGCATACAAGCCATTTAAGGGAACAAACAAGACTTCAGAAGGATGAAGAGTCAGTTCCTACCAGCCGGGAATCTGTCTCATCCTACCTAAGAAGTTCACCTGAGCTATGGTCTGAACTCCTAGCATCCCCTGAATAAGAATAAGCCCTACAATGGACCCCTACATAATCCCCTGATATCCCTGTGTAACCCCCGCCTTAAGGAGTCTAGACCTAGACTACAGTTCACCGAGGAGCAGGGTCGGCAACGCCGTCACTTCCACAGAAACGCTCGAACTGGCTGAAGCACTGTGGCTCGCAGTCAGCTCCTGCACCAAGCTGCTGAAGTCGTGCTCAAACCTGGACTCAGGGTTTAGGGTTTAGGGGCTGCAGCATTGGGGACAAGATGGTAGTTTCTTTAAATATCAATAATATATTCCTTTTTATAAGGACCCCCAAGAAGGTACCCCCCAATTTTGGGAAACCCCCAGATGAGGATGTCTCAAAACCGCATATAAGGCTCCCTCCGAAGGAGCTTCCGGAGATAGGCTTGAAACACTCCCAAAATATTCAGAACAAAGCATAACATAGTATTAATCTAGTACATTACAGTATAAAATAATGTATTACAGTATATTATTGCATATTATAGCATATCACTGAATATTATAGTGGAAAAGTGGCCTGAAGAAACATAGAATGGTTCCCACATGTTCCTAGAAACTGCTGATGCATGGTTACCAGGGCATTGCGGATGGACTCCCGGACGAATTGGTTCATTGCGTCAAAGCCCCCGGGCATTGCTTCGATGAGGCCGTGAATCATGAGTCTGTCTCCTTCAATCCATGCTTGCCCTAAACCTGGAGCTCTAAGCCATAATCCTAGGGGAACTGTAAACTTTGGCTCCGAAACCAAGTCTGTCACAGTCTTCCAGTGCTTGCCCGAAGGCCAAAGGCCCCAACTCCCAAAGAAATCCTGTTTTGAGTCTGTCTCCTTCATCCGATGCTTGCGCGTTGCGGAGATCCAGCGCGGCTAACCTCTTGGCAACAGCCATGGCAATATCAGTGCCCGCTTGGCCTGGTGTTTTTCTCAAAATGAAGGTGCAAGATGATTGCTAGACAATTGCCATCCCTCTAAGCACACAGAATGGGGGGAGCCCCCTACATACTCCGAATGCAACGGACGCCTTATAGTGAAGATCTCCAGAATACAGACCCATGTGTTTCAGAAATCCCCACCTTGCTGGAGGACCCCTGTAGAAGTGCAGAGCAAGAGCCCTGCAAACCCGGCATTCTGCGCTGACAGGAGGATTGTCTGATAGACCTCAAAAAGGCACCAGATGCGCTGCAAAGGTAAGGCCTCTTCGTCGAGTATCATAGCAGTACCCAGGCAATTGGGGCTTCTCAACGCCAAATAGAAGGAGGACTCCTGCCACCGACCATTTCCAAGCTCCAAGGGTACCTCCCACTGATTGTTGCTGAAAGTGCATATCCAATAGGCCGAGTCTCGCCAAGCGTCACCTGCATGGGCAAACCCGTGCTTGCACACTGCCGCCACGAAATGCTGGACTGGTGTACCCCAATAATGAGAAACAAACCAGTTGAGCTCATTGGGGCCGATGAGCTCCGCGAAGGAGAGCTTAACTGGCTTCGTCAAGGGCATCACGATGTTCGAGCAGACATAGTACATGGACCGCTCCCGAATGAATTCCCGGAAAAAGTCTAAGAAGTCTCGGAGCTTCCCTGCCGTGATTGCTCGAGGAGCTCCCCGCTCACACCGCTTGGGCTTTGGGTTCGAGGTAGACCATGCGTGATGAAATTGACGATGTCTCTTCACCATGGGTGTGCGCTGGCCGCGCATCCATGAGATGCCATAGCAAACACAACCCAAGAACGCACTCAATAGACTGACAACGATAGCCATTGGCAGTGTCAGCCGAGAAACACAAGCACCGCCAGCAAGGAAGAATATGAAGGACCACAATAGCAGTGGGCAACGGAAGAAGCCAAGACTCACGAAGGCTCGGGGAAAACTGATACGAACGTATCCCATGGACGTGTCCAACGGACACTTGATTGCGCTAGAGGGCATGAGCAGCAGCTGCTCGTTGCCCATTGCCTGGACTCGGAATGAAGGCGTGGATCGCTTGGCATCCACCATGGGCACACCTGTCTTCCAAAAGGTCTCTAACGATCCTGCTGCCACAGGATGCTTCTAATTTCTAAGGTGCTACAATCTGGGACGCTTGATAGGGAGCTGTTCTATTCCATGGCAGTTCCATTTCCTGTGCCTGTAATTACTGACCCTTGCATAAGCCTTTCAGAACGCTGCTCACCTGTGCCAGCCAAACTGACCCAAGGAGATGCCCACTTCCAGGGCAGGATGCGATGCAGGCCGGATGTTGTCAATACGAAGTCGCTGCCCTGAGATGACAAATCTGCAATGCGAATGCGGCCATGACAGCCTGCCAAGATTGAGATGAAGAAGCCCACGAAACTCCTGAGTTGTGCCTTCAACCCTCTGAAAACGTTCTTCGTGTTTCGACTGACAAGCAACAAAGGAGGATAGGTAGAAAAGATCCCACAGCTTGACCCAGACTCAAGCACGACACAACCACGAACATTATGTCCATGAGATCCAGCTGGCAGTGGTGCTGCCCTGCATCCGTCGTCATATGGAAAAACAGCCCATCACAGGCTTCGCATGAATCGCTTTCGAAGCCAGAGACCTTCCCGAAACAGGTAACGGACAGTTAAGGGCGTGATATGGTCCTGTTTCGGCCCTCTGGGCCCTTCTTGAGCATATCCGCCTTCTGGCCCTTAACCCACAAAACTCCGAATTAATCAGAACTAGACACCTCCCCTGCTGGGCAATTCTGACATCGCTGGCTTCCTTCTGCTGCAAATTTTCCTTGGCTATCTTGGAACCACAAGAACCCCAGGAAAAGAACTTGGCCCTGTCTTGTAAGCAGAAAAGGGAGGAGAAAGCAGCGAAGCAAACAAAAAAAAATGTATCTGAAAGAACACAACGCAGGTTCCAGATGTGCAAACGCTGCAGAACTGACTTCCAGGTAGTTGAGCGAAACGCCCGGCACCACAAGATGTGCAGCTCTGACTTGACCTTTTCTTGGGGGAGAAGGTACGCGGTGAGCAGAACGTGGGTGCTGTAGCCCTGTATTAGAATCGACGACCGGCAGCAACAACTATAATAGGCCATGGAGCAAAAGAATAAAAAACCGCTGAAACCATGACCAACAAACAAGTAAACACGAACAACAAATGCTGGCCCAGTGACACACTACAACTCTACATGTACCTAAGACAACCCTATGTTAAGCCTGACCTCCACCATTTTTAAGTACCACAGCTGGTTTACAGCATTGCCCCCGTCCAGCGCCAATAAACATCAAAGCGCGTGTTGCAAGTTCCCTCTGGAAAGACTGCAAGTCCAAGAAGCAAGCCGCAAATTCTGCAGACTCTCTTTATGACATTGCTAAACTCCATGGAACCCTCTGAAAGTCAGGCGTTTATAGGGGTCCAAAGAGGCTAGCGTTGATGGAACCAGCCGTGTGAAATTCCCAAACTCTCAACTCTCTAAACTCTAAACCCTAAACCCTACACCCTAATCTAGTTTCACCCATGCAATTAAGCTGTACCATGCTATCATCCCATTTGGTAGCTTCCCAAAATCAGGGGTACCTCTTACCTCGCCTGTGCTAGAAAACGTTCTTTCCCCCAAGTACCCGAATGTTTTGGAACGACCCATGTACACAGGTAGGTTGCACGTTGGAGAAAGCGCCGGATGGGCATTCGCGACATTGTGCGGCGCCAGAGACTGCAAATCTACCTGGTTTAGGTTTTAGGGTTTAGGCTTGTAGAGTCTCCCTACTCTGATCGCTCAGCTACTTTCAAATTGTAGAAACTTTGTAAGCCACCATGAATCTTCAACAGAATTCAATCTGTGTTGGTATCAGTTTCAACTACAGGACAGTTGTCCTCTTTTGTTGGTACTAAATTGGCTTCGAATTTGCCAGCAATGTGAGCCACAGTCTAAACTCCTAGCATCCCGTATCGTAGTCCCCTATAGAATCGCTATATAAGCTCCCTTTGAGGAGTTTAGACTATTCCTCATGTGGGCGTGTAGGTTTTAATTTATCCCATCCCAAGGAGGAGCATTCTGATGGGATTGAGATGAGCCCCTCAGCATTCAAAGTTCTACGCCGCGGCACAAAAATGTTGATTGTAATCCTAACCCTAAACTGGTAGAAACTAGTAGATCTTGCAGGAAGCCTTGAAAACTCTCCCACCTCCTGCCTGAGCAGAAAACAACAAAAGTGCCCTGAACTCTTCACCCTATACCTTAACACGAAAATCCTAAACCCGGAACCCCGAATAGTAGTTTCCATTTTCTTTTCCGTTATCCCAATATCTCCCCATCATATACCCTATAATCTCTAGCATACCCCATTATAAGGGTCTTTTCCCGTATCCCAATAGAATCCCAACATTTTCCCAATAGAACCCTGAAGCCGCCTGCTGGGCACTGAAGGCAAACACTGCTGCCTGGGTCCGCAGCATGAGTACCTGCCTGCTTCAGAAGGGTTAAGGGCTTAGGGAACCCCAGGAAAAGTACTGTTGATACTTCTGCTTGAGCTCGGTATGAAACAGTCATGCAGGGTTTCTGTTGTCAACGTGGGACTTTCCATGCATTGAACGGAATAGCGTCCCAATGCATATCTTGACATCAAGAACATGGATACAGCTAACCCAATACATACCCTATAATCCCTAACATACCCTATTATATCCCTGATATATTCCCTATTATAGTAGTTTCCATGTTCTTTCCGTTATCCCAACACTATCCCAATACAAACCCAAGCCTTGAGCGGACAGGTACCAGGATCCCTTCACCATTTGGTATATGTTGGGGAAATGTTGGGATACCGGGAAAGAGAATGGAAACTACAATTTTGGGTTTGCGGTTTAGGGTCTCAGTTTCAGTGTTCGGTTTAGGGTTCTGAGTCTATAAGAACTACCACGTGGGGGCACTGAAGTCAAAAAGCTGTACCTTCTTTGGGACATTTGGAGCTTAGGGTTAGAGGGTATGTAACTGATCCGCAGGGTGTATGTGGAAAATGCAAGAGGCCATGAGCAAAAATGGGAGGGGCTGAGGGTGAATATTGGGATGATCGCCATCACTAGCATTTGGGCCGGAAGGATTATACTGCCTTGCCTCACACGTCTCGCACTGCGTGCTTCCTCGTTGTGAGATCAACCCAACCGGGCAGCTGGAGCAAAACTGGCCGTAAGTTGCAACCGTGCCAGCTGAGCAAGTCGCACACGCTGAAGCGCCAGGCTCCGATGAGACCTCTCCTGCCTTAGTTCATCAGAACTCAGCAAGTTGGAAGAAGCACCTGCTCCTGATGAGTTGCAGGCAAGAAATCTCTAACAATGCAGTAATTGTCACATAATGCAGCCGAATCTCCGGGCACTCAGAGCACTGGCTGCTGGCTCCGCCTGAGAACCTGCCCACTGGGCACTTTGCGCAAGAGGTCCCACCAGATGAGGCGAAACCAGGTAGGCATGGCCGGCATCTACCTTCATACTCTTCCGATCCGTCTGGGCACCAGCCAGCAGTGCATGTCGATCGGCCACTGCTGTCCGTGCCATAGAAGTGCTCTTCGGCGCAAGCGCAGCTTCCGTTGCCACGCCTAAGAATGGAAAGCGTACTGGACTCGGCGACTTTTTTGGCCGCGGCATCATCCAAGCAGCTGCCTCGACCCTTGCACATCTTGCCATCTGACAGCGGGCATCTTTCACAGCTGTGCAGGGTCCCCGCACCCTCCCATCGGGTATAATAACCTGGCTCACAGCCAGAGCAATCATGAAGCTCATGCCCGCGAATGCACTCACACTCAGGCCCCGAGAGGCACTGGCCCCTGCCATTACAAACATCATTGGGGTAGCAAAATGCCCGTGTCCAGCGCACAGGATTGTCGGACTGCATGTAAGATGCGAGTATGTCAACGTCACCTGAACCATCCATGTCCCATAGGTCCAGGGAATACATTTGTGCAATCTCTTCTGCAACCAAACTGAACCCTGCACATGGCAACGTGTCGTTGCAAAGAAGCGTCTGATCACTTCGGTGCTCACAAACCTCCAGCTTGGGAGTCCAGTCTTCCTTAAGCCTCACCAAGTCAGCATCTCCGTCCTAAGCTAACTCAGGAAGAGTCACACATGAGGGAAAGACTGTAACAAAGCTGCAGCGAGAGTACCTACGTATAAAATGTCCAGAGAACTAACTAACCTAAACACAACTGGGCATCGTTGTCGCAATCGATGAACCTCCACACTCTGTCGGCCTCGTCTTGAGGCTCCGGAAGTGCCCACCTCCACATGCGATCTGCAGCAGACAAGTTGCTGAAAGGGCTTGTCTCCGAAGGCCATTCCACCAAGACACCAGGGTCTCTCTGCTCGAAAAATCGCCCGCTCGGACCAAGCACAAGATCCATGTCGCCATCGTTGTCCCAGTCTACGGCAAGAGGTTGAGAGATGACTCCTACATCAGCATATCGTTGAAACGCAGAATTATCCCAATCCAGCAGAAGAATTGGTTCCTTGCTTTTGTTAACGTTGATGTGAGAAAATGGGTGTATGGCTTTCTCTGCATACCATGACCCTTCCACCATCTCGTGATAATGCAACCTTCCATCTGCAGCTGCTATGAGTATGTCTTCATCGCCATCCATGTCCCAGTCAGTCAGCAAAACCCTGTAGGGGCCCAGCTGAGTGGCAGTCACGTTTTCAAACACTCCCTTTACAAGTCTTGCGCGACCGTCGTGCATCTCATACATCTGCAAAGATCTTTGGGCAGATTGCTTGCAGTTGGAAGACATCCCATTACAATCGTTCGCTGCGAGAAGCATGTCTACCTGACCATCGCTGTGTTGACTATAAGAAACTGAGCTGACGTAAAACTAACATTACGAACGAGCCACACTTTTTTACGATTCATCCGTATTGTGATAACTAAAAACAAGTTCCTCA